CTGCGATAAACCTTTCTCTGCTCCCAACTCCAACGTTTCGGTTTGTTTGGTCTCATCTCACTGTGGGTCGGGCACACGAACTTGGGTTCAGCAACAATTCTAACGTGAGAGCTGCATCCTAATGACCTAACAGCCTCCCACAGACCCTGCCCTGAGAGACCATCACGTTAGGGGTTAGGGTTCAATATATGAGTTTTGGGCTAGAGTACCAGCTCAACGGGGGCTCAGCCACAGTCAAAAATTAAGTTGGTATGGAAAATAAACAAAAAGACACCAGAGTTTGCATCTGAGACCCTTACCCCTCATAGATGGGAGCATCCTCATAAATGGTGGATGGACTGCAACCCCAACAGTGGAGCTTTGGAGACAACGGCTGTGACCCTGCTGGAGAACTGGTGTGCAGAGAAGAGGTGGATCTCAGAAGTTGCTGCTGATTTCAGAAATGTGTTGAGAATAAGCCACACATGCTTTGAAACCTGCCAACAGGTGGACAGTAGAAGGAGGAGAAAAAGAATGCAACCTTGTTATAGTTTGCTGATGACATGGATTTCTCTGAGCTTCTCAGAAAAGTACGTGGAAAGGCAAAGGGATGAAAAGTGAGCTTGAGAGCCCTACCTCACACCTTGCATTTCTTAAAATTAAGACTAAACTAAACCTCTGACCATCTTCCTGGGGAAAAAAAAAAAAGCATAGGCCTGAGGAGCTCCAAGGCAGGGGAAAGTGGGGATCTGATCTATTTAGAACGGTCTTGGCTGGCTTGAAATTTAGCACCAATGGGTTCCTGGCTTAATGTGAACACCTGTGAGTTTCCCAGCCTCTGCAGTTTGACAGAGGAAGGGAGTGGAGGTGGTGGTGCAGTGGAGGTGAAGGCAGCCGTGTGCTGGATGGGAGGCTTCAGCAGCATCTTCTCAGACCTGGCCAGACAGAACAGCTGGAAAGTTCGAAGGCAGCACACAGAACCCCAAGTGGCACTTCCCAGGTTCTCTGGGAAGCCAGGCGGGAGCTCCTTGTGCGGGACCCCTGCAAGCAGGCTGCCAAGGCAGAGGGACTCTGGGTCCCCGCACCTGCCTGCGTGTCCCCTTTTCTGCCATCAGTGCAAGGGCCTGGGGATATGTTAGGAGAAACTTAGCTTTGAAGGAGGAGGTGGGATTATAAATAGAGCCAGGTCTATGAAGACCTTGAGTTTTATTTCTCACGCTATCACAGTGTCTCAGAAGTTGAAGGGTTTTGACATTGTGCTAGGCATTGGCTAAGGAACTGAAGCAATAACTAGGCCTGATCATTAGAAATTGCTCTGAGACATACTACACATCCAGTGCCAAAATAAATTCCAGGTTAATTAAAAAGTTAAAGATGGGGGTGGGGGTGTAGAGCTCAGCAGCAGAGATCATGCTTAGCATGCATGAGCGTGTACGAAGTCCTGGGTTCAACCCCCCATATCGCCACTAAAAAATAAATAAATAAATAAAAATAAAGATAAACTTTTCAAAAAGTTAAAGATTAAATATTACAACAAAAGAATTAGAAGAAACCATGGGCAAATATTTAATTAAACCTAAAGTGGCCAAGGTCTGTCTGAACACAATAGCAAAATGGAAACATTTATAGGTTTGAAATATATACATGTATCTATTTATATTATATGAAATTTAAAATTCCAGTGTGATTAAAAAAATCTCCAAGAAACAAAATTAATAGAAAAAAATTAATAGGAAACAAACTGGGAAAAATATATGCAGCATCTACAATCAATGGTTAATATCCTTCATATGGAAGGATATATAAAGAACAAACACATGATCATTTCAACAGAACTGTTAACGGCCAATAAGCAGATGAAAAATAATGAAAACAAAAGTGAAATATGACAAAAAATTTTAAGATGGTTAATTTCATGTGTGGTTTTTTTGTTTTTTTATTACAATTTAAAAATGTAGCAGGGGAGGGTATAGTCCAGTGGTAGACTGTGTCCTTAGCATGCATGAGGTCCTGGGTTCAATCAAAAAATAAAATAAAATAAATAAACCAAATTACCTACCTCCCCAAAATAAAAACACTTTAAAAAATGGAGGGAAAGGATATAAATTATGTGCAAAGAGTTGAGATCTTGAGTAGAAAGAAGAGATGGAAGAGTTTATAGGAAAATGAATTTTCTTTAATAATTATTCTTATCATCCCTGCCAGTATTTGGAGACTTTCCAGAGAGTAGTTCCCAGACTCTAGTACATGGTGAAGTTTTTCTTACTAGTCTATGGGGAAATGAGAAGATGGCATAGTTTCCAAAATTAAGTATTTTCAATGTTTAAATAAATGCTGAGGGTAGTCTCTCACATTTCTTTGTTGTTTTTGTGGGGTTGTTGTTGTTGTTGTTGTTGTTGTTGTTGTTGTTTTGGTTTTTTTTTTTTGCAATTAATGGTGACAGTGTAAGATAATTTTGCTAGAAAGAGAATGTATCTCTAAATGTCTTCATTAGGCACTCGAGATCTGACAACACAATGTTGTCCTTAAAATTAGGGGAAGGCAATGACAGCTCCAGACATTTGCAAGCGACTGCTCTCAACTTTCATGGCTGACTTACAACAGAGTTTCATTTACCATTTCATAATATACAGTATTATGACAAAATACCATTTACTTCTTTTGGATGGACTGAGACAGGAAAAATCCAGTACTGTCAAGGATGCCAAGAAAGGAGTATTCTCAAACTTTTGCATACAGATTGTAAATTAGTCTGACTTTTCTGGAGGGTAATTTGGCTGTTTATATTATAAACCTTAAAATGTGCATAACTTTGACTCAGCAATTCCTCCCTTAGGAAACTTAGTTCTAAAGAAATAATCAGGGTGGTACACAAAGACTTATCTACAGTGTCACTTTAATAGTGAAAAATTGGGAGGATGGAGTGTTAAGATTTTACAGAGTTGGGTGGTGGGTAGAGGGGGTCTTCATTATTGTATTAGTTTTCTATTGTTGCTGTAACAAATTACCAAAAAGTCAGTAGCTTAAAACAACATAAATTTACTTGCAACAACATGGATGGACCTTGAGCACATTATGCTAAGTGAGATAAGCCAGACAGAGAAAGACAAGTACTGTATATTGTCACTTATATGTGAAATCTAAAATAATCAAAAATGTAAAAAAAAAAATTAAAAAAAAAAACCCAAAACAGAGAGTAAAATGGTGGTTACCAGGGAACCGGGGTAGGGGGGAAGACTGATGGTGTTAAAGGGTACAAACTTGTAATGAGCACTAAAATTGCCACTGAGCTTTACGGTCAGTTTACTGAACATAGACAATAATATTATACTCTAAGAATGTAGTGTGATAACTTCCCTCACAATGGCAACCATATGACAATGTATAAATGTATCAAAGTAACACAAGCACACCTTAAATTTCTACAATGTTACATGTCAAATGTATCCAATAAAAATAAATACAACAACACAAATTTGTTATCTTACTGTGTCTGTCTGAGGTCTCGCTGGGCTAAAATTGAGGCAGGGCAATGTCCTTCTGGAGGCTCTAGGGGAAGAGTCCCATAGCTCTGCCTTTTCAAGCTTCTAGTCTACCCACAGTCCTTGACTCACTCCCTTTTTCCATCTTTAAAGCCAGCAATGTGGTATCTCTCAGATACTTTCATCACCACATCTCTATCTCTTCCTCTTCCACTTTTAAGGATGTTTGTTATTATACTGGGTCTACACAGATAATCCAGGATAATTTTCCTAGTTTAAACCCAGCTAATTAGCAACCTACTTCCACTTGCCCTATAATTTACAGGTCCTGGGGAATAAGACATTGAAGTTTTGGGGGGTCATGATTCTGCATACACAGTTGTATTATTCCATATCCTTATCTGTCTGAAAATATTTAGTAATATTTTATATGACAAGTATTTAAAAATCCAGCCCTAACGTCCAATTTAGTGTATGGATGAAATAAGGATATGTATTCACAGGATGAATGCTATGTGTGGGCCAACAGTCATGTTAAGAGAATATATAGTAACATGGAGTCCTGTTCATTACACAGCAAGGGAAGGGACCAAGCCTATAAAAGAATATGCACAAGAAGATACCAATTATCTAAAACCAAAGCCCAAAAGAAATCTATATGCCAGTGAATAAAAAAATGTTTGGAAGGATACAGGTCAAAATGTTAACAATGTTTATCTCTGGACAGTGATTTCAATTTTCTTCTATTTTTCTGCATTAAGTTTAATCATGTATTAGTTTTTCGAAGGAAATAAAAGTTGATTGAGAACGTGTACCTAGGACATTTTTCTGGTCGTCTCTCTGGTTTCTTAGCTTTTGACCACACTCACTCACACCCAGTCCACAGGACTGCCCTCCTCATCAAAAATGTTTCAAGTCTGGCTATCGGTGACACTCACCGTTTCTTCAGGCCCGAGTTGTCCGCTCTGGAAAGTATGATCCTCGGAGGACAGGAAAGAGCCACATGGTGAACTAAGCTCGGCAATGAATCGGTGCTTCTTGAAAACTTTTTCAGGGCCAAGCAAACCCAAGGCAACAGCTGCATCCCGCAAAGAACTTAGTAACTGGTACCTTGGAAGCTGGATGCGCAAGTGTACGAGCCTCTTTCACAAGCTCGCTGGCATGTGTTAATGGCTTTAATTAGTAATACTGTTTTTAATACACAAAAGAACAGAAGAGAGGCATCGTCCGTGTGCCCTCCCGCAGGGCGGTCCGAGAGCGGGGGGCCTGGCGGGGAGGCCGTGGAAGAGCGACCCAGCGTGCCCACCCGGGTCCTCTGTGCACCCGCGCCGGCACTCCTGGAGCCCAAGGAGGCTTCCCAGCCGTGCACACACCGCCTGAGCCTGGCCCCGGGCACCACTGGCCCAGGGCCGAGCCCTGAGGACGGCGGCCCTGGCCCAGGAGCCCCATGTGTTCGCGAGCTTTGATCTCGGATGGGCGCGCCGCTCCGCGCTCCCTTCGCCGGGCCGGAGCCCGCCCCACCACCGAGAGGAGCGCCTAGAGTGGACCGGACCGCCGCGCCCGTCGCTCCGCTCCTGCCAGCCTCCTCTATCCCGGAAGTTGACGCTGCGAGCCCGATCGCGTGCTGCTCGCTAGGGGTGTCGCCTTAGAGATCTGGACGGGCTGGGCAGGCGAAACGGTCGACATGCCTGTGAGTTGTTTACTTTCGGGGTCCGCGTTTGTTTCGGCCTTCT